GGGGGGTGGGGCTGGCACGGCACACTGGGGATTGAACCCCGGCCCCTGTGCTCTGCCTAAGCAGGTGCTTTAGTCCACTGAGCTATCTGGCCAGCCCTAAATGGATCAAATTTTAAAACTAGTAAGAATAAAGTAATTGTGCAGTTGTGGCCTACGTCCCATTGCCATAGTGTGCAGAACTTGGAACCACAGGGCTCCAAGGGTGCTTCCAGCCAGGCGCCTGCACACCCTAGACTTGGCCCCGCTCAGTCCAAAGCCAGGGACATCTCAGATGGAGGTGGGCCCTAGCGCCACCCTAGGTCCGATCTCTCCACCAGAGCCTGGAAACACAACTTGATGGGCTTAGAACTTCCTGGCCCAGGGCTGGTGGCACCTATCTGTGTCTCTGAAGAGTCACCCTGACTTTCTATTTCCAGTGATTGTGGTAGTCCTTTCGCCAAACTATTCCAGCTCTCCGAAGGATACTTCTAAAACAGGGCTCAGCCTTGGGCTTCACCTCTCTGAATCTTGTTCTTCCTTCATGAGGAGCTGACAGCCTCAGCAAAATGCTCCCCCAAAGGCTCAGCTCGGGCCTGGTGTGAGGCCTACTTGCCCCAGAGGTTGGCTGCTTCTCTGACCGCTGGGGGTTTAACAGGGGAACACAGCCATGGATAGCATTGCCTTCCTGAGCCAGTCGCTGAACCCCTGCACAGCCCAGGCAGTGTGATAGAAAGGAAGGCCAGGAAGTTGGGGAGCCTAAGGTTGCCCATAATAAGCGATGTGATCCCAAGGGCCCAGCTGTTTCAGTGTGACCTTTCCGGGAACCTGTGGGAAGATTATGTCTAGCTCATCTAGGAGCTTGAAGACAGGATTAATTTAATCATTAGCATTTCACGGGTGAAGCCAGGCTCTTGTAACTCCATCTCGCTGTGCCTCATGCTCTTGGGAGAACCAGCCTCATTTGGGAGTGGTCCTCACAGACATTGGGGCGGCCCTGTCTTTGCCTCACAGACATTGGGGCGGCCCTGGGAGAGGGTTTTCTGTGAACATGGCTGGGGAGTGCTTGGTGTTCTCCACTGAGATCTAGGTTAGAAGTCCCAGACTAGAAACACACATTTGGGGAAGACCTGAAATTTTTCAGAGTTTCTACAGGGCCAACGAAGAAGGTTCTGGAAAATAAGACTCTGAGGTAGCCATTTGAAGTTTGGAATCTTGTGAAACAGACTGGAGGTGAGTTGCTCACAGGTTTCCATCTTTATTTTACTTTCTGTATGTGGAAAGGGAAGTTTCCCTACTGGTTGTTTGTTGCCTCAGTTTTCCATGCCTGTTGCCTCAGTTTTCCATGCCTGTGTGTGTGTGTGTGTGTGTGTGTGTGTGTGTGTGTGTGTGTGTGTGTTGGACTCCTACCATGGTGCATCACTCTCAAGGCACAAAACAGCTAGGAGGGTGCCTGTCCTTGAGCGTGGGGCTTGGGAGATAAGGGACAAAGGACACTGTGGCTGCATGGCTGTGATTAGGAACCAGCAGGGCCAGTAGGCTGGCCTGGGTTCTGCCCGCCCCTTGCCTCTGCCACAGAAGCACAGGGATACGCAGTCCTCCCTGCCTGCTGGCCCCCCGCCCTGGCTGATCTGAGCACCCAGCTGCTGAAGACTGGTGATGGGCAAAGAGGCCAGGCTGGGTAGGGCTTGCGAGGGGGCTTCAAGCTGGAGGTAGGAGGCCCGTTGTCCCTGCGCTGCACAAACAAGGGTTTCCTGGGACCCAGTCTTTTGAAACCTGAAAAGTGTCTGCAAGACCCAAGTGGGGATGTGGGGTGGGGGTGGGGGTGTCATCCCAGGTCTGTCCCTCCACTGTGCAGCTCAGCACTGTTCATCATGTCCCCGAGCCTCAGTGCTGCCCCAGACTTGACCACTCACACCTTGTCCCCTGATCCCCCTGGGAGTCCCCCAGGAGCTGCAGAACTGCCCGGCTGATCTGCCGCGTGAATGGATGGGCAGGTCTCCCCTCCACTTCCTCCTTGCCTCAGAGGGACAGTGACTTCAGTGCTGATTCATGCTTCGCTGCTTTGCAGGTTGCTTCCCCTCCTGCAAGCTCACCCATCCCTCCCTAGGCCACCTCCACCTCCCTGTCCTTTCTGCCCAACTCCCTGCTGTGTGACTCTTCTCTTGACCACCAGGCCTTGGGCTGCAGAACCAGGTCCCTAACTGAGCACTGGCCTGTGGAGCGGCTGGAGGCCCTGAAGGGCATTGTGACGGAAGGGACACAGATTCATTCATTTGTTCCCTCACGCATCATGCTCTCACCAACCCCATGTGGCAGCCTCCTGTGAGCCTGGCGGTGTCTTAGGCAGTGGGGCAGGAGCACCAGACAAGACTGGGAGAGTCACGGTGCTGATGAATTGGTGTCCTGGAAGGAGTTGGGGTCCCTGAGCAAGCAGGAAGTAAACACTAAGACATCTGATGTTCCTGACCAAGGAGAAGCCAAGGCCCTTTCCCAGGAGGCGGAAAGCTCACCCCTCCCTGGTGCCGGCAGTGCCAGTGCTCAGTGTGTTCCACTTGGGGACAGTGACATTTGCCTTTCATGCAAAACATGTAGACCATGAGTCCCTTTGAGGAAACCCATCAAAGCCAGCATTGTCTGAGAGGAGGGAGAAAATGTTCAGGAAAGCACATAGTGGTTTGTGCTGGGGCGGGAGGCTGTGTGTGTGTGTGTGTGTGTGTGTGTGTGTGTGTGTGTATACCTGTGTGACTGTGTGTCCCCCCAGCACATGCACTGGTAGTACGAAGAACGGAGCTCACATGCTGATTGTCGTCTTCTCCAGCTAGGGGAGGGGTGTGGGTTCTCTGCTCAGGGCTGGAAGGACCCAGGTCCCTTCTGGGGCAGACCATGAGCTGCTCATGGCCGAGATGCAGCCAGCTGCAGGGTGAGGAACAGAGGAGGCCAAGCGGTGCTTGGGTGCTGTCTGCAAGTGTGACAGGGGCTTAGCCCCAGACACAGCCTTGCCCCCACTTTCCAGGGCCTAAGCTGCGGGTGGCGGGGTGATGCAGGCCCTGAAGAGTGCAGCATGGCTGTCCAATGCCAGGATGAGGGCCGCGAAGGGTGCCGAGGCCTGGGGGTTCCAGAGCCTGCTCAGCCCTACTGACCTTTGTGTGTTGGGGCCAAGGAGAGCAGAGGGACAAAAGCCTGTCTCCAGGCGGCACCTTTGGCATCCCAGGACACACTGTAAACCTGGTGCCTGAAGTGCTGGCAGGCACAGACATGCACTAATTATAATCTACAAGGCTGCTTAGCGATGCCCTTGGACTCCTTGGGAGGTGGCAGCTCCAGGACAAGGTCTCCAGGGAGCTGGAAAGCTGGGGGCCCTGAAGCAGGTGTGAGGGATATAGGAAGGTGGACCCTTTCAATGACTTGGCGGATGTCACCTTGTAGTCCCCCCAGAATGGGGATGATTTAAAACTTCTTGAACTCTCTGCTAGGAGCTGTTGAGAGAGCAAGACAGTGGATTTGCTTGCTCTGTGACCTTGGCCAGGTTGCCTCACCACTCTGAACCTAACCACAGGCTTTTTTAAAACTATGCAAAGGAGTAAAGCTTTTCTGTCCAGCTGTGGGTGGGAGGGCTCAAAAAGGGCAGTGTAGCAACACCTAGCGCTGCTGTTACCTGGTAGGGATGGTGATCCTGGCTCCCAGGTTTCTAACCCCTGACAAATCCTGGAAGGCTTCTTGGAGGCAGCGATGCCAGAGCAGAAAAGGGCTGAGAGACCAGCAGGAGCAAAAACGGGGGGTGGGGGGGAGGCTGTGAGCAGCAGGGGAGGCTGCAGAGATGGCCAGGGTAGACCCTGTTGTGCTTAGCACTGTGGGTTTATTGCAGCGAGCCCCTGGAGGGCTAAGTCAGAAGGGCCTATGAGGTTGTTTTCTGCTGCACAGGGACTCTGGTCTTTGCTGCTTTGGAAGGGCTGATTTCCCACAAAACCACAGACCCCGGGGTGCCTGGTCCTCCTGTGGCTGCAGGGTCCTGGGTTCCATTTGTAGGTTAAGGGCTGCATCTATTTTTGGAATCTTGGTGTGGGCATTGTGCAAGGAAAGTGAAGGTGCTGGGCTTTCTGGTCAACCCCATCCTGCTTAGGGCACAGTCAGTGTCTGCAGGGGTGAGAGGTCCTGTGCCTCGGGCTCTGTGTCAGGCTCTGCATGCTTATAGGTGTTGTCATCCTCCTTGTAAGTAAGGAAACCGAAAAACAGAAAGGTTAATAACCTTGCCCAAGGTCACATAGCTAAGAGACAGAAACTCCAGTTTCAGATTGTCCCTACATTTTCTGTGTAGCAGAATGTGAATGCTGGGTAATACTCATTTATCCTATCCTGAAAGTCTCATGGGACTTTAACTGTAAAATCCTTTCTCCTCCTTCTTTTTGTATTCACTACAGAGTCTACAGGGTTTCACTATATAGATCGGACTTGTGGTGATTCTCCTGTTTACAGCCTCCCAAGAGCTGGGATTACAGGCTCTCAGCACCACACCAGGTCTCAGTTCTGTCTCAGTGCATGCTGTGGGTGGAGCCAGCATGAGTAAAATCCTTTTTTGTTTGGTTTGGTTTGGCTATTTGGGGACAGGGTCCTGCTACATAGTTCAGGCTGGCCTTAAACTCATGGTGGTCTTTCTGCTTTAGTCTCTGAGTGCTGGGAATACAGGTATGGCCACCATGCTGGGGAAAATCTTTTCTTTCCCCCTTTTATTCCATACTTGGCTTGTGGTACAGGCCTTGCACATGCTAGGCAAATGCTTTACTAGTGAACGACAGTCCCAGATCTTTTGAAAAATTTTTATTTGAGAGTGGGTCTCCCAGAGTGACCTAGATTGGCCTCAAATGCACCAGCCTGTCAGCAGCTGGGATTGCAGACATTTAGCACAAGTGCCACCTGCAATCTTTCCTGTTTTTCTTTTTTGTTTTTTGAGACAAAGTCTTGCTGTATAGTTCAGGCTGCCTCTGAACTCACTATAAAGTACTGTAAAGTTGACGGCTGCCTTTCAACTTGCAGCAATCCTCCTGCCTCAGCCTCCTGAGTGCTGGGATTACAGGAGCCCTGCTGAAATCTTTAAACTTGTTTCTAGAACACAACTTTAAAGGCCTTTCACTAAAGAACAAGCGCAAGGGCCTGAGTTCAATACCGGTTCTGCAAAACAAAACAAAACAAAACAAAACAAAAACCAGAGGAAACAGCGACTACTCCCTCAGGGAACTGAACTTTTAAAATGTGCCAATGGGGGAGCTGGGATTGGGGGTGCTGTAAGAGAGTTCCATCTTTTTCGGCGTTCATTCGTTCATTTCATCCTGGAATTTGATGTTGGGTGGCAGGCTTTCCACTGGCCCTGAGCCACTTGCCTCTGTAGTCAGGCTTTGTTGGATCATGAGCCTGCTCCGGCTGTTTTCACGCTGCCGAGACTGGCTGAAGAGTTGTGACAGAAACAGAAACGGGGGCTGGCAAAGCTGTGTTTGCAGCCTGCTCTTGCCTTCTCAGCCTCCTTCAGGGCGTCAGTCATCACCTCCCTCCCTGCAGAGGCCCTGGCGCAGGGCCGGAAGTCACAGCTTTTCCTGGCGACAGTTACGCTGCCTGTCTGCTCCACTCGCAACAGTGTTACTTAGTAAACGTGGGCGTAGCCCCTGCCGTCTGCTGTGACTCCAACCATCCTTGCCTGAATCTTAGATGAGAAGCCAAAGCAGAGTAGCAAGGCTGCACAGTCGGGGCTGGATCTGCAGGCTGGCTCCAGGGCCCTGCGCAGGTGCGTGAGGACAGGGTCCCAGGACCTCTGTGGAGCCTGGAGCGCACCTGCTGCAGCCCACCCTGGCCAGACTTGGCCAGCTCTGGGCCTCTGTGACAGACTACACAGGCCAAGTGACCACAGATGTTGTTTCTTTGTTTGGAATGGCCCAGCTGCCTGTGCACAGAAGAAAGCGCAGGGGCCTAAGGAAATAAGGAAAAATGCCCTGTGGGTCGGGCAGTGTAGGAGTAGCCCTCGAGCTCAGCAAACTCCCTGATCCGGGCGGACCGTTGTTAGCTAAATGAGAAATTTAGCACGTGTTCTGTGGGGAAGGAGAAGCACCACCAACAAAAAAACGGGACGACGTACGGCCAGCAGAAGGGAAAGGTTGAGTAAAGCTCTAGCCGTCGCTGCCGTGGAGTGTTCTGGGCCGTTTTCGGAGAGCAGCTGCGGGACGAATATAGCTCTGTCGCCGGGG